TTCGCAGGCAACCTGCTGTTTAAATGCGCCAATCAAACGGAAGCAGTCGACAAATTATTTGGACAGACTTCATCTACCTCAACATCCCTAAGACCATCGACCAGGTCAAAAACCGCGTTCTTATTCAGAAGGGCAAAAGCTACGGCTTGAGAAAATATGTCCTTGGATGCATCAGGAATCTCCCGCAGATTCGGCAACTTTAAGTCGTAGTTCGAAGTGCCTTGCCCGCCTCTGTTAAAATCAAACGTGGTTATGTAAAACGTCCGTTCTGTGTTCACCCTTGCTTTTGTGTTCAGTAACAAGCCTACGCGTCTTATCAGCTTCAATACCTAGCCTTTATCTTATGATGTTATGAGGTGACGGGCGATCACCGGCTAAGAAGACCACAGTGCACTATCACCATACCTAGATATGGCGCATGCGTGGTCATTTCACAGCTTGATACCGTTTAATTCGTCCATATTAGGCCTCAGCTGCACGTCTTATACAAGCTTAGCGACAATTTTCCTTAAACAGTTACCCAGAAGCGTGACACTGGATATTCGTTCAAGCTGGTTCGAGTTGTGCAGAACAAACTGAGAAAGCGCCAAAGACGGGGAACTGACACGCAGGTATATTGCGGACGATATTGTGGGGGTTTCATGTATCTCTAACCGAAGATACTTAACGTCTACGTGCCGCCTAATGTGGAAAATTCAATACAGGCCTGACATGCTTGACACAAGTAAGACTTCACAGCACTAGGTGCACCATAACGAAGAGTCACCAAGCACATCAAACAGTTAGTCCCTTTATTTACCAGGTTTAATCGACAACCTTGCAATTATACAGTAATCAGTTTGGGGACCGAGGTGGTACCTTAAAAATGGCCTGCCAGATTCTGAGGATCCCAGCCATGTCTGTCGCCGGCTACTGCAACTTTGCAAGAACGCAAACCCAAGGGCTAATAGTCTAAGCTGAACATGCAACACTTCCGGCAAGCATACCGGTGATGCTTTCACTCTCTCCGCTTGTGTCAGACTTGGACCGTCCTCCCAAATCACTCTATTCCCTTAGCTATATTATTTAGGTTTAACGACCATTTGTTGTAGCATTACCTGAAGTACGTTATGAAATGTAGGTTGTGTACATAGAGATACGGCTTAACGTGAAAAATCTCACACATCCAACGTCAACGTAAAGAACCGAGACTCTCCTACGCATGCCTGGGTGTAAAAACTATGGCAAATCCACCAAAATGCTTTTCCTATATTGCCAAGCATCTTTTTAATTTGTGTTTCTCAGTGTGACTCTCCTACTGCGATGTTGTGTGCATTTGAGATTTTATACGCAATAAACCATCATTCTATTGCTCCGTTACTGCTTGGTCCCGTATGATGCGTCCAAGCAATAGAAAAAATTAAAGTAATGCTATGTTTAGTTTCGTAAATGAGAGGTTGTTCTATACACGTACCGATGGGTCACGTAAACCTAAAAGCTAAGGGCTGGGAAGATGTTACCTCGGGGCCACGCTTACTGATAGGTGCAAATTTATTGTTTATATATCAAGCAAGGCAACGTTCAAGGATTTGCTGTTGATACCTGATAACTTCAACTTCGTGGCGAAAGTTTCATTCCTGTAGTATTGTCTACATCCCTGGCACGATAAATCCATCCTTCGACATAGCCAAGATATTTAGGTTGGTAATTCGGGGCTAGAAACAGAAAACGGAGTAACAGGATGTAATTATTTTCGTGCGCAGGTGGAAGAACAGTTTGAAACTGCATTAATAAATAGCCAGGAAATGTAGTCATTTAATTAACCAAGCGGAGGTGTATTCGACTGAAAAGCGCCATATACACACAATTTCAGTAGAAATTTCCCAAGCAATTAAATTGCCGTAGTACTGAAACAGAAGTTGCTTTAGGACTGGAAGTTCGCAACCATACGTATGCTTTCTGATACCGAAATTTTGATGTTGCTACGACGAAATATTGGCAGATGTCACTTAGCAGTTTAAATTTATTGGCTAGGTTATATAGCACTACATGCTAGAGGACGCGATGGATGTAGCTTATAATCTGGCTACTGTTACTGCTACCAAATGAAACATCTACACTTACGGCGAAGTACTGGAAGCTGTGTGATGAATTCTTTCTTGCACTACGTCCTTCCAGACATTTGCAGTCGACAACTACGTGCTAGGTATTGGTACATTTACTTAGTCATATCACACCGCAGTTATCGTGCATTGTCGGCGCCACATTTTGCTAGATATTACTCCACATTGTGCGCAGTTTGTGGGAGCAACCTCAACTGGTAAAATCCTAATGTAGCCATGGCTATTAATTTGACTTACGCATACCACTCAACATTAGCTGCGGAACTACTAGGGGCATGTACACATGGATACAAAATGATTCTTTTACTTACAGCGTAAGTGACCGCCTCGTAGCATCTATTGCGCTGCTCATCGCCTGCAGGAAGTGCAGGGTTTTGGATGGACAGCAAGAAGACCATTTGGGGACGAAGGTAAGCATTTGAAAAAGCAGCTACCCTCACAGCCGCCCACGCAGCCGCACTTTACAGTGGTTTTGTGACGTGTGATTCTAGATGCTTAAGGAACGCCTTACGCTGAGGAAACACCGCTTAACTCTGTGTGCAGCTGACGGCATTTTCAGTAACTTCACCTCTTCTGCCGCGAATCATGCCGAACACTCAAGTACAGTTATTGAGACACAGGAATAAGTGAGTATTTGTGGCTTTGTACGTGATGGATCTAAATATATAGCCCACTACTCACGTGGTACATGATCTCAAGGCCATATGTTCTATCCTGAAGAATAAGAATATGAGTCTGGTCGGAGTAGTGAATGCCGTTTACTCATCCCTATTAAGTGTAGTGAACACAAGTGGTCTGAAGACGGACATGATATTGCCAAGCTGTCGTTAGTTAGTGTCAACTTTTCTCCCTTAACACCGACATCCTGGATGACGTCTGAGATTTAGGAGGTCTGTCGCATGAAGAAAAGTCAACCGCACTTGAGTTAACGTTTGCGGACAGAGTGGCAAAATGTGCGAGCTGAACTGTGGTGGCGAAGGTCACAACACAGTTCTATTTGGGATCAACGCGATACATTTGTTCGTTAAATCCCGTGCGATTGATAGGAGTTCGTTGTCCAGTTTTGCCATGTCTGTGTATTGCGCAACTAAACACCGTTCTGAACCGCTACCACTGGAATTCGAGGAGTGATCTAAACGAATAAGATGAGTATGCATGACGTTTTTGGTGCCACACACAAGAACTATTGAACTATATATCTTAAGCAAAAATAAAATTAAGCGGTAGCTAGATTTACCCAAATGCAGGGGAATGTTTTTGAACACACACTTGAGCATAGTGCGCAATGCAAAGGCGCTGTTGAGTGTGCAATGCGGTAGCCTGCAATTGTTCTGTTTGTCACGGATTTTGCAGTTGCAGACGTTCTCCCGCTTGTTATAAGAACAGACGTTTGGACACATTCAAAGTAGCAGCGTACCGAGCACAGAGTATACGAGGGGGACAAGTAATTACCTCAATTGCTGCAGTCGGCACAGTCGGCCGTTCATCATGTCTTCGAGACAGCACTGCTGTTGAAGAATGTAAGCCAAAAGATTGGGTTTTGTGTGAGATTTACCAACACTGGTGGAAACAGATTTGCGCCAGTTATTAAAAAGTGTTTAACACTGTTTTTGCGATAGTTAACCGACGTCGGTTAAGCGTGTATATTGTTGCGGAATATGAGAGGAAACAGCTAAGCAATTTTAACAGCTTGGCCGTAATTCACCCATTTGTAGCAAGAAATAAAACTATTCCACATCAACATAGTTATTTAGGCGCTGCCATCATTCGGTAGGATTAAACGGGGCTAGAGCTGGTAACACGCCATAATGATATTCACGCACCAATTTAGGCAACGATATCTATGTATCTGTTTCCATGATGCCACTAACGTAACGATTCCAGCTTTGATGCACTAGTTGTATAAGTACCTATAGGAACCGATTTCATTTGTTATGTCCAGGTGCAGTACGGCAACCGCCCTGATAGTATTAAATCCTGTATTCGTTAAATATTTAGCGTAAAAGCACTACTTTTCACAAATTTCTCAATGATTTTGTTTTTGGAGGGAGAGTTTCCGCAATAGTAGAAAAAGGCGACCATAGTTGTGGTTTACAAGGAGGTTCAATGCTGGCGCGTCTTAATTAAGGCCAGCCAGTATTACCAGTGTCCTGTTTAAATATCCATAAAAGCTATTTAAATTTGGAGAACATAAACGAACACAATACTTAAGATTAGACTATAAGAACTTATTAGAATGAAGTCGTGCATTACTAATTCCTTTCGACAGTGCATGAAAATATTCGATTTCTTGAAATTAGGAGGAAGGGACCGTTTGACGACAGATCGGCGGTAAAATTTAAATTTTTGTAGTTGCTACTGGTACACTTTTTCTTCAAGTTTAATAAATGACGTTCATAATATTAAGGATGGATAGGGTAAAAGAATGTAAATCGTACAGTACTAATACATGGGGTACCTTGTGTAAACAATATACTGAGGTAAAGTGGTTACAGTAAGGTCGTAATGGTGGCGGAAAGTCAAGGGATAGAATTGTAACGAAACGGAAACTGTAATGTGACTTTGAACGAACCGCCACTTTTAATTCTCTTTCTTCTTTCCTTTTTCAGACTAGAACACGTTGAACAACGAATGAATCGTTATGCACATTTTTCCCTTTTGACGCACCTACGGACATTTTACACCATTTTAGAACGACTTGCGTTTTTGTTTTGACTGTACCTTCGTTTTTTGGTTATTAGAGACACGTTGCTGCTTCGCGTCGTGTTCTTCATTCCGGGGTCGAAGACTGCCCGATTGGTTGCATCTCTTCGTGCTGCGTTCGCTGGATATCGTGACACTCCTTCCTCATCCGATTGCATGTGTTAACGCATTCATAGACTAGTCGAGTTACTATCGTGTGTGTTTACTGTGCGCTCCATTTCAGCCCGATCGTCTCTCGGCATTTCAAACCTGCTCTGACGGAACCGTTACAATTTGGTGTCAGAAGTGGGATAATAAACCTATGGACAACCACGAGTTCGGCCCGCCCGAAGTAAAATCTATTGTTCGCTGTTTTACACACGAATGTTCACCTGGTTTTCGTCCAACGCCCTGACAGCCGCCAGTTTTTGAGCCGGACGACGGCTTCGGAAACTGAGAATTTCAGGTCTCAGCCTACTTATCCACTATCCCCGAGAAAGATGTCCTAATTTTTATCCTCAGCTTTCTGAGCGACAAATATTTGCGCCTCATCCGTTCAACGGGTATTAATCCGAAGTCTTCTTTCTCAGAGATATGGGAGGCTGTGCGCCGTCTATTCGTAAAATCAGAGCCTGCTCTGATTTACGAGGAGAGGTTCGCTACCCGCAACCAGTTGCCTGGCCTAACGGTGGATGTGTTCTCACGTGCGCTTAGAGACCTCGCACTGAGAACTTTCCCGGAACTTTCGTCTTCCCAACGGGAGAATTGTGTTTGAAAACGTTTTTTGTAAGGGCTTGCGCGACAAGTCGCTTCGTAAAGAGTCGGTGCGCAGACTACCATGCCGCCTCAAAGAGCTGCTGAAGGATGCGCGGACACAGGAGGTAATGGAAATACTAGACAGCACTTCCGAGTCCCCTGGAATTCGTGAATGCCATGCGATTGGTCACACCACAGCGAAGATACACGAAACTATGAAAACCACTCCGCCTACTCCGAACCCGCCGAACGCGAGTTGCTGGTACTGCCACCGGTTTGGAAAGCGTGCTCAAAACTGCGGGCACAATCATCCGACCAGGCCGCGAAGACCCTGAGGTAGGTCTGAACACCTAATGTCTGCTTTTGTTTGTAATGCGGTAATTAGTCCGTTGACCACGGTTGGGTTCCTGAACGATGCTGTTTTGCCTTTTTTGATTGACACTGGAGCACCATGTTCTCTATTGAGATTGGATGTAGCCAGTCGTCTCGGTGATCGTCGAGCATTCCGTATGAAACGGCTACGCGTAGTTACTGCTAACGGGTCTGAACTACCAGTAGTATCCTCCCTAATCGCCAGGGTCCGTTTGGGCAAAATCACAGCTACTCACGAGTTTTAGTCCGTCGGAACCTTAAATGGGAAGCCATCTTGGGAATGGATTTTTGGGTCAACGCGCGAGTACTCTTTACCTCTCCAGCGCTACTTTGACACATGATACGTTCAGGAACAGCACAGGCGACGTTTTGTGTTCATTGCCTTCCTGTCCGGTTTCGCTCGAACCATCTGAAGCTTTACCGTTTATGTCCGACGTAATCGATCCCTTAAATAATGTTACGACTTTGCCTATAAAACACAAGATGAAACTTTGTTCTTTGCACCGAGAGTTTGAGGATTTATTTGTTGATGACAAGCTTGGACGTACAAGCATAATTCAGCATGAAATTTACACGGGCACCCAACACCCTATTCGCCAGCCGGCCCGGAGAGTCCCCATACACTACCAACCTCAACTCGATAATGTGATTAAGGACATGTTGGAAAAGCACGTTATTCGTCCGTCAACGTCACCGTGGGCCTTTCCCATCGTCCTAGTTAAAAAGAAAGATGGATCTCTACGACTCTGTGTAGATTACAGGAGACTGAACGAGGTTACCCGAAAAAATTCTTTTCCGCTGCCACGTATCGATGCTACTTTCGATGCTCTCCATGGTGCACGTTGGTTTTCAACCCTCGACTTGGCCGCTGGGTACTGGCAGGTGGATGTCCGCCCATCTGACTGAAGCAAGACAGCTTTTATCGTGCCATCTGGTTTGTATGAATTTGAGACAATGCCTTTTGGGTTAGCAAACTCTCCCGCAACGTTTCAACGGCGGATGCGAAATTTTTTGGAAGGGCTTGTGCCGAAGGAATGCGTTATTTACTTGGACGATGTTATACTCCATGGCAGTTCCGTAGAAGAACATAATGACCGACGGCGCATTGTCCTGCCACGGCTACGGCAAGCCGGACTAAGGCTGAAAGGTTCTAAGTGCCGCTTCCTGCGTAGCCAAGTTACTTTCTTGGGTCATGTCATCACACCAAACGGTATCAGCACCGACACTGGTAAATGTGAAAAGGTTCAATAGTGGCCACGACCTCGTAATGTGGAGGATCTACGAAGCTTCCTGGGACTTGAGTCATATTATCGCAGGTTTATTCGTAATTTCGCTACCCTCTCGGCTCCGCTACATCGCCTGACCGAAAAGGGCCGACAGTTCCTTTGGACCGATGAGTGTACTCGAGCTTTCTCACAACTGAAAGAATGTCTATCCTCACCACAAATTCTTGGCCTTCCTGACGTTTCTGATACAGCGGGACCATTAGTGCTGGATACCAACGCCAATGCTGACGCGATAGGAGCAGTCGTGTCACAGAAAACATCCAGTGGCGAAGTTGTGATTGCTTACGCTAGGCGCCATCTAG